TGTATATTTATTGATTTTTTAAAATATTTTTTTATAAATATTTTACTTTTTAGATGTATGCATCTAAAAAAATTAAAAAATTACTTAAAATTTTAAAAATATTCACTAAAAACAAAAAAATACGAAAAATAAAAAATTCAATTTCTAAAAAATTGAAGCCAAAAAATTGAAATCAAACACAATAAATAAGACCAAAAGTTTTGTTGTGACACCTTTTCAATTCATGGCCTCTGTTGCCCCTCTATTCCTCCTATTAACTGCGGTATTGCTATATATATATATATATATTGGTTGGTCATGAAAGTTTTTTGTTTAATTACGGTGTACCTACTTCATTTCTTACCACTTTGTATTAATTTTCTACTTCAATTTTTTTTGTATTGTTAGAAATCCATGGTTGATATAGAAGTGAAGACAAGTGAGAATGTAATGGAGGCATGTTCAGGAACATCCTCAGTTAGAAACTGTGTACTCACATCATCACTTCTGGCCTGCATTTGGCGAGACAACTCCCAAAGTGATGTCTCCTCCATAGTTGACCACAACAGCTGGAGCGATGAATCCATCTGCGTAGACAAAAAGGTACTCCTCCTTAGACTCCATTTGTTTTGACAAAATATTTTAGGAGAAATATCACATCAGTGAGTATTACAAAAAGTATATTTCAAATTAGTGCAATACTTTATGAATAAATTTATAAACTTTTTAATGAATGGGGTGTGATTCCCCCAATATTTTATTATGGTGAATATATAGTTACTTAGCTGTGAGAAAAAAATTACAGCTCTGGTATGCATTGGGTAAACTAAGGGCAGAGAAAGCTGCGAGGAGAACAGCTGAGCAGAGGGGTTTGAAGCTGGTAACTATCTGCCCCGGTCTCATTACCGGTCCTGAATTCTGTCACAGAAATCCAACAGCAACAATTGCTTATCTCAAAGGTACATATCATCTTCATCCCAAAACTCTCCACGATGGTTCTTGTTTTGAATCCAATTAGCAGAAACATAGAAACTAGTCATGGATTGTTGATGTCGAAACACAGGAGCTCAAGAGATGTACGCATATGGATTATTGGCAACAGTCGATGTAAACAGATTGGCAGAAGCACATGTTTGCACATTTGAGGAAATGGGTAAGACGGCGTTTGGGAGGTATGTTTGCTTTGATCGTGTGATTCAGAGTGAGGATGAGGCAGAAGAGTTGGCAAGGGAGATGGGGATGCAAACAAACATGATATCAGGGAATTCGTCAGGAAGTTCTTCATTTCGGTTTGAGTTGTCAAATGTGAAACTCTCTAGGCTGATGACAAGAACACTTCGATGTATTAATGAATGCTAGCAACTTTGCAAACAACTTTGTTGTCTTCTCTCTACCATCCCACATGTACACACATGAGAAGTTTAAAGTTACTTAGTTTGGTGATTTTAGATAGTTGTCGTGTGTTGTGCTAATTTGAATTTGAATTTGAATTTGATTAGTTAGTTATTTATCAATTTTATTTTGGTGTCAAAACACAAATGATTATTGGTGTCCCTTAATACCAACGAAGACGGTTCTCCTTCCCTGGAAAGACACAATATTCCTTGGTGAGTGTCTAATAGTGACCAACAAGAAGGTATTCATTGGCGAGCATCTGGTAACTTTAACTCAAGTTAGAACCATGCTCGTAGATGTTTGATTTGTTTCCAAATTGCTCTTTTTATTTGGCTTTAGTTTTTTTGGTGATAAGATAAATCAATTATTGCAACCTTATACAAATCATTATGGCTTTCAATCTTATTCGGTTGTCGTCTATTACTCTTTAAATTCTTATTGGAAAAGTTGTGATAATGTTAATGCCCTTGTCTTGACATTTATGAAGATTAGATTTGATTTGATTTTTTTATTGATATATATAGTTTTACAAGTACTAAAAAAGAAGTGATAGACTTTATCACCATTCGATAATTAATTTTTCAAAACCGCACCGAGCAGTGGTTTTCCATAAAAGTCTAGTTTTCTTTTATAGAGTAGGCAAAATAAGCTTCGGGTTGAAAAAGAAAGGCTCTGTTTGTTAAGTCTCTCAAATGATAATTCTATTTATTGATTTGAGTGTGATATTTATTTTGAGTTTTTAAATTATAATTCTACACTTATATTTTAAAACTCAATTCAAAATATAATTATTACTTTTCAAAATTCATAACCAAACACGTAATTAAAAACTCTTTTCAAAATTCAATTCAAATCAATATTTTAATTTTGTTAAGATTTTAAATATTTAAATATGTTATGATTTTTTAAATTTTTTGAATATTTTTAAATATTTTAATTTTTAAATATTATGATTTTAATTTTTTTGTTATGTATTTGGTTACAATTTAAGTGTAAAGTTATGAAAATAATATGGAGTTTCGAGTTATGTGTTTGGTTACAAGTTTTAAAAATAATTTCTTAATTGAGTTTTGTTTTATGTGTTTGGTTACGATTTAAATGTAGAATTGTTTTTAAATTCAAAATATTAAAATTTTAAATTATTTAAATTTTTATGATTTGAATTTTTTGAATATTTATTTTAATTTTTTACTTATTAAATTTTTGGGATTTTATTTTTTTAAGGTCCCTATTATAATTTTATAGTATAAAGGACACTCAATATTTTTATACTGTCTAAGGTCCCTCAACATCAATCCAGAGAAAATTCAATCCAGTGAAATTCTTTGGTCCAAACCCAGAGAAAATTCAATTTGATCCAGAAAAAATTCAATTCAGTGTTATTCTTTGGTAAAATTGGACTGATTAAGATGGAGTCCACTGATTCACTGAATTCAATTCAGTGAAATTCTTGAATTTTCAATTGAATTAGTGAAATTCAATTCAGTGAATTAGAATGCTCTGAATTAGAATGTGAATGCTCTTATTCTACATAATATTGTGGATGTCTAACCCAATTTTACTCAATTAAAGACAGAAAAAATTAACCTAGAGAAAATTTCTCTAGTTTATAAATGAATCTAGAGAAATTTGAATTTGAACCCAGAGAAAATCAATCAAAATAAACCCAAAGAAATTCTTTGGAATATCTCTCAAATTTCCAAAAGCAGTTGTACCTCAAACACAAAAATTCAACAACAAAAATTCAAAAATTCTCTGGAGATAGTTTCTTAAACTTTGCAACGAGTTCTGGAAATCCAAACAGAGTCATAGCACATTCTTTGGCGATTTCAGCGAAGCACAATGCACAATCATTCATGAAATTTCCATTGCGAGCAGTAAGTAGTCCGTAAATATGAAGCCAGTTTTTTCCACCTCGATTTACGAGCGTAGCTTCTACAGTAGCCCCCACCGCATTCCTCAACACTACATAGTTGACCGTCACTGAACCATTCTTGCCAAGAACGTCGTCGTATAAGGGCTTATCATACTTATTGGCGGTGTTGTAAACGTTTCACGGTATCTGCTCGCTGCTGACATCATCGTCCAGAGACAATTTGTCCTTATCCTTGAGAGCAACGTCGATGGTGAAGTTGTCGCAGGCTGAGATGGATCGAACTGGGCCAGTCAACAAAGCGATTTGGCTCGGGCTGATGGATTCGTAATGATCTCTTGATCGATTGTAGATGGATTGAGAACTCTGTTCGTTGGTGATTGTGATTGTGCCGTAGAGCTTCTCTCCGTCGATCAAGCTTCGCGAGAACCTCCCTAAACCTCTCCACCGACATCTTTCAACAAATTAATGGAAATCGGTGCTGGATCCTCGGCCTCAACGCCACTCAAAATGGTTTCCGAGCTCCTTCGTTCCAGTCGGAGAATGCGCCGGCGCCTCCGTGAACGACAACAAATTTTAGAGAGAGGACAGAGAGGTCGTCGGAGGAGAGAGAGTATGTAAAGTTGAGACTTTGGATGTCAATGAAAAAACATAATAAGAGCAGAGAGAGTTAAGACATTTGGAGAAAACAGAGCTGAGTTGAGATGGTATATGTTTAGAGAGACAAAGAGTCAAATTTCTCTAATATATGTTTAAAGACTTTAGACATCAAAAAATATTTTTGTAAATCTCTTCCATTACGAAAAGTAGGAGAGAGACCCTAAACCAATTTTCTCTAAATTTTTTAAATTATTTAAATATTTATGACTTAAATTTTTCGAATATTTATTTTGAAAAACATTTGTTTCCTTTGTAGTATTTTCAATTAAAAAATTGATTAATGTTATTTTCTATTAATAATAATTTTTTTTAATTGAATTTTAAAAAAAAATTTGGTTGTGAGTGTTGACCAAAATTTTCAATAGTATGAAAGTAATGTATTTTATTAGAGCATCTCCAATGCACTAGGCATATAATGGTTGTTAGGTAAAATGCCTAGTATGACTCACTTTTTTCAACTCCAATGCACTAGGCATTTAATTAGGCATTTTAGCTCAACTCACATTCACTAGCTACATGTAGCTAGTCTTCAAGGCTAGGCAAAATGTATTTAATCATTAGGATTATTTCCCTCCATCTTTGTTGCTGATGTGGCATTTTATAAAATTAATAGTACTTGGATGAATAGTTAAAATAAAGAGCATGATTGGAGCAAAAATATGATACAGTTGATAGGCAAAATAAAATGTATACTTTATAGTAATGTTTTAGATAGGTAAAATGTCTATTACCGTTGGAGATGCTCTTATGAGTTATAACAATTTGAATTAATTCATAACCAAACAAATTATCTTACTTCACATATCAAATCAAAGTTTCAAAACTCAATTCCACACTCAATTCAACACTCTATTCAAAAATCATAACCAAACAAATTTTCTATACTCAAATCATAATTTCAAAACACACAAATTCAAAATACAATTCATAATAATCACAGGTTACTCTGATAAATAAAAAAAATAAAAATAAACAGAGCCTAAAATCAACTTTAAAGACAATAAACATTTAAACGTAAAACCATAAAACAAATTGGAAAAAACAAAACATTGAGAAAAATTAAGTTAGAAATTAGGGTTAATATAGGAAACAAAATGTACTTGAGCTTACTAGACCAGCTTCAAAGATGAGCAATCTCAGCAAATCTGAAGAGCAAAAGATTGATTGATTTCCGAGCAGATTAACACCGCCCTTTTCATTATAATATTAAGAAAAGGGGGCTGCCTGAATTTCTGCTCAATATTTACCCAAACTCACAAACCTAAATCAAATATCAAAAAATATAATCCAAAATCAGATTTACTTCCCAGTTGATTTTAAAAAGCAAAATCTTTTCGGGTTTCAAATCATTTAATCTGAATGAATCAGAGAGAAAAAACAGACAATGAACAAGAAAAAAAAGATTAAAAAGAAGAGATATGGGGGCTCAGAGGGTTGCTTAATGTGCTCAAAGAAGAGCCCTTTCGAGGCACTTCTCATACAAGAGGTGTCAGAAATAAAAGCATTGTTCATCTTAGCCCCCCAAACTCCTCTCAATTTATCATCATCTAAATCACAAAAAAAAAATTAATATGAATCACTGAGAAAGAAGAATATGAAGCAAAACAGCTACAAAGAACCACGACCCAGCGGCTAGGCTAGAATGCCATACATTAGGGTTTCTTGCGATCCTTTGTAGCAGATTACCGGGGTATTTATAGCTTGCTTCTGGGCTTTTTATTGGGCCCTATGTTGAAGTCGGCCCAGGTGCCTGTCTACGATCCAGTCTTTTGGTTTTGCGACGTGGAATACAATGAATATTGAAAATATAGGGTGATAAAATGAAAATTTTTAGGGTTAATTACAAAAAAAAAAAAAAAAAAAAAAAAAAAAATTTTTGGGTTAAATCACAAAAAAATAATTAATATGAATCACTGAGAAAGAAGAATATGAAGCAAAACTGCGACGAAGAACCACGACCCAGCGGCTAGGCTAGAATGCCATACATTAGGGTTTCTTGCGATCCATTGTAGCAGATTACCGGGGTATTTATAGCTTGCTTCTGGGCTTTTTATTGGGCCCTATGTTGAAGTCGGCCCAGGTGCCTGTCTACGATCCAGTCTTTTGGTTTTGCGACGTGGAATACAATGAATATTGAAAATATAGGGTGATAAAATGAAAATTTTTAGGGTTAATTACAAAAAAAAAAAAAAAAAAAAAAAAGAATTTTGCGTGCTTTTCAATTTAAATCTCATAATTTTAATTTTGACAAATTAAACTCTAAAATTTCATTCATGTTTCAATCTGGTCCGTTCGGCTATTTTTGTCATGTTAAATTAAAAAAAATCTAGACAAAATTTCATATTCAAACTCACATGTTCAAACATTTGTATCTCACTTGTTGTAACTCCGTTTAGCCTTATTTTTTCATCGTTGGATTCACCTCATGGCCTAGTTTCATTCCACTCTTCATACGCTCGGAGCTCCGAAAGTTGGCCAAAAATAAGATTTTTCTCTTTTTGGACAAAATTTTCATATTTAAATCCATTTATTCAAGCACTTATATCTCCCTCGTCGTAACTTCGTTTCACTTCATTTTTCCGTCGTTAGATTCAACGTCTAGTTTTTATTTCAGCCCTCACATGTCTTGTTTCACCTCTTTTTGTATGCCGTCGGATTTTCGAAAATTGGCAAAAAATAGACTTTTTCTCTCTTTCTTTTTTCTTCTTTTTCTTTTTCCTCCTCCTCTTGCCTTGCTACTACTGCTTCATTATCATTATCTGCTTCATCATCATCACTTGACGGTGTCTAGAATTCTGAGCAATTGAATTTTATGGTCTTGACTGTTGCTTTGTGCTTATATGAATTTCAAGTGAACAACCTCAAATGAGCAACGCGAGTGTTTGATTTCATGAATGCTAACTAAGAATTTTTGTTGCACACATTGAATTGGACTATCATTTGAAAATTACAAATAACAGAAAAATCCCCCAAGAGAGATACCATTTTAACCATATTTTTCCAATTTTCTTTTCTTCCCTGACATTGTTTTCAAGAACCAAACAGAGACTTAGATTCTAGTGGACTTGATTACATTGTTTGGACCCACAATCAGTTATGAACAAGTAGTTAGGAAATGGGCATTATCTTTTATGGATGTAAAAAACTATTAGAAAAAGGGAAATATTCAAGCTTCCAAAAAATGGCATTTTTTTGAACTTTCAATTTGTTAATTTGCCCAGTTCTTTATAGCCCAAGCTCCCTGCAGGTAATGATAATGAAGCAGTAACAGCAGCAACAGCAACAGCAACAGCAACAGCAGTGTAGCAAGGTAGGAAGAGGAGTCGGGGTGGAGGAGGACAAAGAAAGAAGGGAAGAAAAGAGAGAGAAAAAACTTATTTTAGCTAACTTTTGAAGATCCGACAGCATGCAAAGAGGTGAAACAAGGCATACGTGGGGTAGAATAAAAACTAGGCCATGAGTTGAATCTAACAACACAAAAATGAGGTGAAATGGAGTTACGACGAAGAAAATACAAATGCTTGAATATGTGGATTTGAATATAAAAATTTTGCCCAAAGAGAGAATTTATTTTTTTGGCCAACTTTCAGAGCTTCGACGGCAAGTAAAAAGATATGGAGCAAGGTGTATGAAGAGTGGAATGAAAATTAGGCCATGAGATGAATCCAACGATGCTAAAATGAGGCGAAACGGAATTACGACGAGAAAGATACAAGTATTTGAATATGTGGATTTGAATATGAAATTCTGCCTAGATTTTTGTTAGTTTAACATGACAAAGATGAACGGGCAGGCCAGAGAGAAATACAGATGAAATTTTAGGATTTAATTTGTCGAAATTGAAATTCTAGGGTTTAAATTGAAAATCACGTGAAATCCTGGATTTTTTTTTGGTAATTAATCCAAATTTTTATTTGCTTTTATATGTGTGTGTGTTTTAAACAAAAAAAAATGAAAATTTTGAATTTTTTTTAAAATTTTCATATTTTGAAAATAATCTTTTTGATATTTTTTAGAAAATTGATTTTTTCAACTTTTTCTTTCCATAATTATGTTAAAAAATAATTAATCGAAAAATGCTTTTATTTATGCTTATCATTTTTTTACACTTGCCTACTTTTCAAGCATGCTCACTTTAAAAATTATATACATTATATTTTTCACTTTTCATTTTTTATTTTTATTTGGAGAAATTACAAAAAAAACACCAGGATTTAGCGTGTTTTTAATTTAAACCCCAACATTTTAATTTTAACAATTTAAACCCTAAATTTTTAACCGTGTTGACCCTTCGTCTGTTTCCATTTATTTCTGTTAACTTTTTACACTTATTTGATACATGTGCCACTTTTTGATTCGTCAATGTAGACGTCCCCGAACGTCCCGGGAGGAAATCCCCCCCGTTTTGTTCATTGGGCTCACTACAGTTCAGGACTCGAAGTCACGGTCCTGTATCTAATATATTCTTTTTCTCTCTCTCGACAAATCCATTTCTAACCTATACATATACACACACATTACATATATATATATATATATATATAGATATTCAATCTTCATTTTCTCTATTTTTGTCCAACAATGCCTTCACGCCCACCACCATCACCATTTCCAGATTTTTCGGCGCCGCAACCGTCAGAACCACTCATCGACCTCTCCCCACATAACCCCACATCCCCATTTTAACCTCATCCCACCCATCCTCACTGGAGCCTTCACTATCGCCAATCTCTTCTTCTTCGCCATTTTTTATCAGAAACTGTCCTAGAAACACACAGTTTCAATAAATAAAACAAATGGATAGCCACACTAAGCTTAGTAAAAGATGGTGGTGGTGGAATAATGAAGGGTATTGCTCAAATCCATTGCCTTTCGCCCTCAGATCTATCGTCACCCTCACCGTTTCACTCGAATTCGTTACTCCTACATCTTAATTTCTTCAGATTTGCCACCATCCTCCACTATCTCTCTCAGATCCATCGTCACATCTACTATTTCCTCCCTAAGATTTGTTCAATCTCGTCACCATAATACAACCTGGTGTGAAAGTGTAATCTCCACTCATAACATAATTAGAAAGAGAAAGAGAGAGATAGAGAGTATATATATAATGTGTGTGTATGTATAGGTTAGAAATGGATTTGCAAAGAGTAAATATATATATATATATATATATATGATGTTGTATCCTGTTTCTCACTGCTTTGCTACTTCTAGTCAATCGTCTTTATTGTTTATTTGATTAATCTCGTTTTCAGTTCATCTTAATCACCCGAAAGATCAGTCTGTTATATCCACCTAGTTTAAGTCACCCACTTTCGTCCCTGTCCTGAGTAAGTCCTTAGAGTTAGGCCGTGTTAGACTTAGGGGTCTTCCGAATGGGGTATGTATGTATACTAGGTACGTGGTAAAATTGACAAGAATAGGGTATGTATTAAGATATCTGTAAAACTGATTAATTAAGCAGAACAATGAGTCGATTATTTAGAAGTAACTCATCAGTAAGTTCTAGGTCAACAACTTTGCCCTCAATACCTAATCAAGGATTAGTAATTAATGAAGAAGATGTTGAGATACAAAATGATAAATTTGAAACTGAATGGAATATACCCAAATTATCAATTAAAGAAATCTATAAAACTACTTTTTTACAAAATGTTTTTAAAATTTCTCTCCATGTTAAAACTATTGAACAAGTTTATGCTTTAGAAAAACCTCGGGAAACCTGCCAATTATTTGATAAAAAATTGATCAAGAGACATTTAGATAATGGTTATAATTTTATGCATATTGGCTTAATTCAAGTAGGTGTCAATCCATTGACAATGGTAGGCAAAAACACTTCTGTTTTATTATGTTTAAGAGATGCTCGCTTTCTTAATTACAATGATAGTTTAATGGGTATGATGGAAACTGGCCTTCATAAAGGTCCGGTATATTTTAATTGTTTTCCTGATTTTACACTTAGTTTACGCGATCCACATATTCTCAAAGCATTAACGTTAAACATTCAATTACATGGTTCATTCACTGAAATGTTAGAAAAAGTTCATAATATTGCTTTAATTTATCGTGTTCATTATAAATGTATGCAAACCAATTTAAATGTTCATGCCTTACACAAAAGCCCCAAAGATAAAACTTTATTAATACAAAGCAGTAGTAGTGGTGAATCCAATATTAATATACCCCAAATGATTGAATGGAAGAATATAGATTTACCTGATCAATGGGTTACTGTCAATGAAAATAACAAACACAATCAACAACAATCTTCAATTCAAGATATTCAAGATATTCAACAATACAATGATGGTTCTGTCCGAATTAAATTTAATCGCAGTCAATCCTCTAGGCATAGTACATCTAGTGTCCCTACTGAAATTACAACTGAAGATGAAATATTTAACACTCCTTTATTTCGAAAAAATAGTCAAATACATCTTGGTCAAACTAACCAAACTTCCCAAAACAAACTAAAAGGAATTGATAATTCTACCACTTCCCAGATTAGTAAAC